GGGGGGGGGACAAAATTGCCGACTGGGGGGGCAGTAAGGGGGGCTGGGGGGGCCATGTCCCCCCCCAGTCTTTATGTTAAAAGAGGCCCTGTGCTAAGGCCTGCTTACTGTATTAAAGTAGAGTAGTTGGTGGAATTATTTGATCAATACAGCTTTATGGCATTACAGAGAATGTAGTAAATTAAAAATATGATAACATTTCAGATAATCAGGCTTACAAACTTGTATGTTGATGTCAGTTGCAATGCCAAACTCATAGAATATGTAAGTGAGTATTGTGAGTCTAAAGAATTTTGATTGACAGTATTTGTGTTTTACTGACGTGAAACTGTGCTGGTTTTTATTGCAAAATAGGGAGAGTTTAGGCGAGTTAAGCAAAATTCTGTCAACTTCTCATTGCGAGATAAGGCGAGATTTGGCGAGTTAAGCAAAATTCGATCAATTTCTATTGCGAGATAGGGCGAGATAAGGCGAGTTAGGGCGAGTTAAGGCGAGTTAAGGTCCCAGAGTAGGCCTTATTAGTTTGCTTGTCCCGTTTCAAATGTTGGTCTAATGAAACCCCAAGTAAAATGGCGGATGTAATCTCCTTAACATTATTGTTATTGACTTTAATGGTTATTGGACCAAGGTCAGGGAATTTAGATTGGGAATATATTTTCATTATTTTTGTCTTGCCAGGATTAAGAGACATTTTGTTATGGTTAGTCCAACGGGACACTGAGGTCATATCCGACTTTAGAGAGACACTAAGTTCGTGAAGGTCCGATCCGGAGGATGTTAGTGTAGAGTCATCGTCAAATAAAAAAGGCTTAGAACTTCCAACATAACTGGGTGAATCGTTAAATAAATAAATAAAGATAAGAAAGAGAATTGGTCCTAGTATAGATCCTTGAGGCACACCAGACTTTATCAGAGCTGGGTTGGATAGGGATGATGCAATTTGTACAACTTGGTAACGATCATTTAGATACGATTTAAACCATTTTAAAGCTATTGGAGTAATGCCATATTGTTCTAATTTCTGCAGTAGCAATCTGTGATCGAC